ACCAAGCCCTGACCACATCTGTGCTCACTTCCATCACCTGCAGAACCCAGAGGACAGACCCCACTGCCATTCCCAGCCAGCACAGTCCTGCAAGGATTCACACATTTGGATACAGCCACCAGGCTCTGTGGGCTCAGCATCAGCTTGATTTTCATTCCTTTTGCACAGCTTTCTCCATCCCAGTCAACTATTTTGAGCCACAACCTATTTAGCTGAATTTTCCTCGGCAGTGAGTCATGACGCTAAGCCTGTCACGGATAACAGTCACACCACGTGTAACCTCTCAGCTCAGGCCCCACCAGATCAGGAAAGCTCCACAGGATCCAGGGAAGACAGTTCAGAGGAGCTGATATTTACATTGAGGATATGCCTAGTTATTGCTCTGAAACTGACCACGATTCCCACAGATTAAATGGATTAAATTACACAACTGAGGGAGTATGTGACCCAAAGCTGCAAAATTAACCCAGACTGGACATTGGAAAAGGCTTTGGGGATGTGAGGGAAAAAAAATAAATCATCATTTGTATTTAGTCTTGTCCACACTTTCCTTTCTTTGGCTTTCATCACTGGGGAGATCACAGCTGCAGATCTCCTGCTGTGGGACACATTGCCAGGAAAAAGGTCTTTTCCCAGGTGCTGCTTTCCTGTGACACCCAACTCTCCTGAAAGGCTGGCAAAGCTCTTCACCTACTGCTCTCTGGCGTGTTACAGTGCAGGTAGCATTGCCTGTGCTTTGTGAGGGGCAAGAGGCAGTTTGAGAATAAATAATCTCTCAGAGTAAATGTTACAATCACATTGGAACGTAATGGCCTGAAATAAGGGACTACACTCAGTCCTGATAGTCATTTCCACTTCTGCTTTTCCAGCTTGTATCCTTAATGCTCTCATTCTATGCTTTGTTTAAGCACTAAGGTACTCTTCCCATACTCAAGTTAATAATTTCCCACTAAAGACCCTCTGTGGAAATGCAGCACTTGTTCCCCAAAGGACAAAGGTAACTCAACTAACACACTGAGCTCTACTGTCACATTACCTGCTCTTTCCTTCCCTGAGCTCAAGCACATCAAGTGTAGTTCTGCTTCCAGAAATGAAGCATGTGCCTTTTTTTTCAGGTGAACACCATTACAGTGACAGACTAGCCCTGTTTAACAACAGATAAACATGAGTTCAGAGTCACATCAGCCTTTCGTGCTTCTACTAATTACTTTCATCTTCAGCTTTGGCAGAAAACTTAAAAGAAGGGAAGGCAAAATACCCAGAGAGAAAGCACACATCAAGCAGAGGTGAAGAGCATTTATTACTAATCTGCACTCTGGGAGGAGAGATGAAGCTATGAAAAGAAATAATCCCAGGCAAGAGGTTTCTGAGCGAACGGAGATAAACACAGGCTGATCAAAGAGCTGGAAAAGGCTGATTGCAGAGAAGCTGCAGGGATCTACTTTAAGCTGCAGTGGAAAAATCAGATACTATTTCACTAAAAGAAGTGACCATAGACTTGTGTTCACAACTAAAACCTGATTTTCCAAAATATTTAATCTATCACAGCAGCCCCTACAGCTTTTTCCATTCAAGTGCACCTCAGGGCATAACTGGGTGTTGCTCACTTGGTCACAAATTGCACACACGAAAACAGGATTCTTTTTTTTTGCAGCCACCCACAAACCTAACATTCAGCACACACAAATAAATTGGCAAACTAGGAATATCATTTAGCACTAGTGAAGTGTTCAGGGATCAAGTTTGCTTTGGACAGAGACTTTGAGGAAGAATCAAGCTTTGAGTTCAGATAGGTTTAAAGTCCAAACTGTTCACACGGCTCTTACGAAAGATCTCAACTTTCCTGTTTGCCTGATCTTGCCTCCAGTGATGCAAACATTTGAAACAGGCCCAGGTGAGTGAAGAGTGAAATGAATCCTAAGCCAGTTACTCTTCCCACGGGCTCTACCCAAGACTCCCTTCCTCGCTCTCCCCAGCAGAGGAAAATGTTTAAGGCACCAAGACCAAGATCTGCCCTTGGCCACATCAGTGAGGGCAAATGCTACTTGTGTGAAAGAACTGTGAAACAGAGCTCAGAAAACAGGCCAGGCAAGTACAGGCAATGAAAAATTAGCAGATGTTGCAATAAGCAATGTGCTAGTAAGTTGCTGGAGACCAAAATTCCCTAGGTGATTCTACAGACACAGAAAGACAGCATCCCAGAAACAAGAGGAATACTTTAATGCAGAAAAGCAAAACCCACCCCAAAATATGAAACAAGTCAGTAATACCTGTTGACAGCTGATTTATGCCTTTGGCACAGGACATCAAATCCAGCTGCTCCCAGAACTCTTTCTCTTTGGCTGCACATCTGTCGTAGAGAGGCTGCACTTCTTATTTAATGATAAAAGTGCATTTGGGAATGGAAAATAAGTCAGATAAATGTGATGGCAAATACACGAACAAGAAATTTGCAACCTTTAGTTTCCAGTTAAAGTGCAAGGAAGCAGATTCTTACTCTGGAATAGAGTCAAAAAACACAAAGAAAAGTCTGGAGCACAGGGGAACCTTCTAAGCCAAGTGCTGGCACATGGTCTGTGGGTACTGAGAAAGACACCAAGATTTCCAAACTCATAAGCAATATTACAGCCCATGGTAGTTTTCCTCTATTTCAATGGATTAGGCTTTCACTTTGCTACAATAAACCATTGATCATGTCTATGAAATGAACTGCCTGGTGTAACAGGGCCACGCTGGGAAACTTGCTTTGGTCAGCCATGGCTTTTGTTTTGTTTCCTTTTATGCCCTGCTCTCCTCAGAACCTGTGTCCTGTTAACCCATCCAAACAGTGCAGAATCATCAGTGTCAGTCTGATCACACATCTCAGCAGTCACACAGGCACTGGGAGGCTGCATCATCCAGGGAAGTGAAGAACAACAGTGGCATCTCTACAGACATCAGGAACAGATTCTCAAAGACACAAACACTGACACATGTTTCAAATGTTTTTCTTTCATTGTTTAAATAAAACTTTTGAGTATAACCATATCCTATGTTATTTCCATAAAAAAAACCCCAATCTGTATGACATTGGTTAAAATGGACACAAATATCCATGGTGATTGCACAGAACATTTGTGAAAATGAATGTCATTTCAGCAAGTCAGTTGGTTTAAGTAAACAGCATTTCTCGTTCCAAGGGCTTTTCTATACAGCAAAGTTACATAAAGATAACCTAAAGTAGAAACTTAATGAAACTAATCAGAAAACCTTCTGGGTATATAATCCTTTTTCATGGTGGAAGTGGCTTGCGGTCTAGCTTAACTCTATTGGGAGCAGGCTTAGAGCACATCAAACGAATATCTGCAAATAAATTTGCATTGTTTAAACAAATTTACTTAAACCCAATATGAGTTAATCAGTGCACTTTTCAAAGAGTCAGTTTAAAAGGCAATTTAATAAAAAAACGAGGAGCTTGACAGAATATACATAACCTCCTGGACAGCTTCTTTCCAAGAGGTGATTTGTTCTTTCTAAGGGCACACAACAATTCAGTGGCAAGTCCAGTGAATTCAGCTCTCCTGAGGCAGACTATGGCATGGAGCTAACACTGATGTAGTCATTGCAAACACTTTCCCTCACTTGCTGGGAGACAGCTGTTGAGATGGCAAAATGTGCCACGTTTGCCTGTGGTGGATCACACCCTGTATTAGCAAAATAGTCCCCTGGAGTCAAATGCTACAGCCAGACCAAGCCTGCTCCCAGGTCAGACCCCAGCCTAGCCCACAGACCTTCCTGGCTGTCTTGCTCATCACTGTCAAACACATTTTGCTCAACCGTGGCATGAATAAGCCTTTAAGAAACAATAAAAAGCTTTTCAAGATAACAACTATGCTAAACATCTGATTGATATGAAGAGTAAACCCATCTCAGCCCTATTCCTTATCTAATAGTAGTGTTTTACTCAGTAGTGGGCTTCCAGCCACATCAAAAGTGGCCACAGCTCTATGTGCAATCAAAATGAAGGAGCTCATTGATATTGCTGGATAAGCAAGAATAAATATTGCTTTAAGCACACTCTGCTTTGGATAAGCTTCCAGGATAAACAATGCACTTCACTCATTACCAAGCAGACTGTTTGGGAAATAGCAGGCTAAGCTAGCTTGTTCACACCACCACAATTTCATTGTTCTTCTAGAAGAAACAACAACAACAACAACAAAGAATTTGTTGTTGCAAAGTCTGCAATGCATTAGATTTTCAAAAGATTAAAATCCCAATCCTCATATTAGACTTTTCAGCAAAATGAGAAGGAGTTGTGTTTTTCCTGTCAGAATAAAATGACAAAATATTATGACATATACTTCAGCTAAGGAGAAAGTTAAGGCTTGACTTTTTCAAGAGTTTCCTTTCCAGAGGCAGAAATTTAGTCACAGTCTGCTTAAGACATTACCTCTCAGATTTACTCTCTGCTGCAGAAGGAGCAAACAGCTATGAGGCATTTGTGGCAAGTTAGTGATTTTAACACTCGAGAACATGAGATGTTCCAGTTTCACAACAGAACTGTGTTCTGCTTTAATGAGAACTGATATTTTTGCAACACTTGGCAATACAAATAGGAACATTAAAAAAAGTATGAGGTTTGGATCATCCTTGATGTTTTGACATAAATCAGAAGGAAAGTGGCAGAATTAATTGAGATCAGTCAAGCTCTTAAAAAGCAAAGGCCTGTTAGCCTTGGGTCTGCTCCTCCATTTATTAGTAAGAGAAACAGATTCAACTTCTGATTTCTTTGCTGACCATGGCAGTTGTTAGCTCCTAACCAAGGGCAAGACTCTTCCAACACCAGTTATTTTTCTCCCAAGGAAGAAGCTCATTACCATCTGCCAGCCATCACCTAGTACAGGTGTGGTTTCCTCCAACCCATCACCTTAGTCCTTGATAGTGGAAATACAGTAACCATTCCTAGATTCAACTACTCCAGAACTGAAAGCAAAATCCAAAACATTTTTAAAATCATTTTATCTGCTATAGCTGTATTTCTTCGAACTCAAAGGTATATTTGGAAGAGGTAGTCCAGGAGAAAAAGGTTTCAAATACCAAAATCTGTATGTCCCATACCAAGATGACAGACCTATCAGCACACCGAGAAGCTTTTGACTGAAGTCATGGAAGTACAGGGCAGTACAGAGGAACATGAACACCCAGATCGTGGTGAGAAAACACAAGGAAACAAACAGGACGTTGATCACCACACGCAGCTTAGAGTTCTGGTCTATGGGCAAGGCTTCCAGCACAGCCACCTCCTCCAGGATCATCAGAGCACAGTAGGAGAGCAGGAAACAGTGCCCTGAGATGTCGAAGCCGTGCCAGACGCCGTTGTCCCGGTGGCACTCCCGTTTGGTGGCGTAGAGCCGGCGCGGCTCGCCGACCTTCCCAGAGATGGAGCACTCGCCCGTCAGGTTCTCGATGTATGTGAAGAGCTCAGTGCAGACAAACCACACAGCTGTGCCCACCAGCAGTGTGCTCAGACGCCGCAGCACCACCAAAATGCTCCTTGTGGGACCATAGAGGAACTTGGTCCTGGCGAACTGGTAGGTGGTGAGTGCGATGAAGGGCAGCAGCAGCCACAATGTCCAAGCCCAGGCCAACTTCACAAAATATCTGCCAGAGAAGAGGCAAAAGAGAATCAAGTATGTGTAAGGAGCTGGGGTAAGTGGTGGTGCTTGAAGAAGTAAGTTGTCAAGGTCAGTGTTCAGAACCGCCTAAATAAGACACTTGTGCCCTCTTCTCAAAGTAAATCACAGCTACAATCTTAACTCTCTCCCCAGTACATCGCTCAGGCCCAACCCCTGAATCCTTCCTTAGCCAAGTACTTGTTCCACCAGCAGTGTTCCCTTGGACCCAGAGCCCTCATTCATTGCAGCAGACTTGCAGTGCAGTTTTGCAATCACTTTTACCCTACAAACCTGCTCAACTCTGCCCTACTCAAAAGGCAGCACCAAAGAATATATTTTTAGCTTGCCACCCTGACCACAGTAACCCTTTCCCTGACTCTTCCTCCATCTCAATTATCTTTGCTTTCAAAGCCCTTCACAACCTTAACCTCTTAACACTGAATAAAAAAGCCAGAAGGGATGGCTCTTTCCTCTAATCAACCCAGGAAGCTTTTCTTCCCTCATGCCCTTATAAATAAATGAAGCACCACAATGTGTCTGTTCCTTTGCTGACCTTCTGGTTGATCAGAGCTTTCCTTTGGCATGCACAAATCCTTCCATCTCTAAATGCACTCTCTGCCTTGAAAGTTTTTGCTGTGATGGCCATAAAACCTTGAAACCAGCCAGTGATGTGCAAATATCTTGTAAAAATGTTGTTAGGCAGGGTGCAGTATTGGGTAACTAGGCCTCTTTTCAAATCTTAAACTGGATTATGTGCAAGTGAATTTACTGCCGAGTTAAGGAGGCCACAGACCAGGATGTTCTTTATCCCATCAGCACCTTCCATGCAGCTTGCTTCCCATCAACTAGTGGGAGAGGGGAACTCATTCACTCAGGTACCCTGAGTCAGGTTTGAAAACACACAGCAGAATTCTGGGCTGTGTCTGAGCTGTAGCCAGACACACACAGTCATCATCTAATATTACCACAGCATCAAAGACAAAGCCAAAACCAGGCCTAGAGCTCTGTATCTTCCTTATGACCCTAACAAGACTGTCAGGGCCTTGCCCAGGGTTTTGAGGAGTTCCTCCTGCACTCCTGAGTCTGCAGGAGTAATGTCTGTGTGGCAACCACAGCTGCCATCACGGAATAGCAACTGAAAATAAAATCCCCATTTTATTTAAAAGCAAGAAAGGCTGCCAACTTTAATGCTGACAAACCAGCAGGCAAGAAACTGTTTCAGGAACTGTCAGTACAGATAACGTTCCTCTGCCTAAAAAGGGAGAACTGAATGTAGTATGTTTTCACTGTAAGATCAATTCCTCTAAGTGTTCCTGACAATGCTCTTCCG